TCCTGACTTCAAACTCTTGTTCTTTGGTGGCTCGAGGTCTTCATCACCACTGGCACTTCTGTTAAAGGTCGGGGGCCCCGAGGGCCTCTTGAAGAAAGAAGTTTTTTTTGTACATATGTAATGAAAGCAATAGCTCCAAAAACACGAGGAACAACAACGCCGCATGAATGTGCAGGTGTGGCACAGAGCCTCGGTGTAATGGCGCTGGCCTGTGGCTAACAAAAAGCGTGCTCTTCTCAGCTCGGTGTCCACTGTTTTATTTGCCTTAGGTGTCGTCCGTACATTCCTTCTTGACTTCAAACAGCTTTCTCCAAATGTTTGGGAGACATGGTATAATGGGGCTGTGGTGCCAAGTGGCATTTTTTTTTCCCCAAATGAGGGCTTATTCATGCTTTTCAACCTGGTTTTGATACTGCGTGACAAGAAAACCCAAGCAATGATTCTGGGTACAAGAAATCAACTTCTTGTACACATTGGGGACTCTGCCATTTTTTGGACAGAAATGGCCTTTCCTTTGAGGTTTTCATGATTCTAGACACAATTTGCATAAATCTCAAGCTTTGCAAAAGAAATGAAATAGTCTAAATAGACCAGCAGAACACGAATGACCACTTCCTGCAATCTGGTAAGATCACTAAATTTTGCTTGAATGTGATTTTTATTCAGATGGAAGCTAGCATAATTTAGCAAAATGAAATGTTTGTTTAGAATATTTCTTCACATTTCATTGATCAGGGCTGTCAGTAAGGGCCAGTAGCCGGCCAAAACCGCCAGCTAGTTGACAAAACAACATCGTGTGCGTGGTGGAAAATACCTCTTGAAAAGCCCTGGAAACGCAATTTTCCAGTTTCTAAATTTCAAAATGTCCCTAGATGCCTCCCTAAGAAACTTGTGCCTTTGGTGAGGGTTCCAAAGCTGCCTACCATTTATTATCACCCTGCTACTTAAAAACTTTTTGACAGTCCTGATTGATGTTTTGGGGAATGCTTTCTGTGTTTTGCTACAACACAATTATTTGCCTTTGTTACATTACATTATTGTACATGCTCATAAACAAATTCACCACTGGTTTTTCTGAAGAAAAACTGTCCAGGACACCGGTAGTTTTGAAAATGGCAATTCAGTTCAGAATAAAAAAATGGTGTGTACAATTTTACGTGTACTACAAGCCTGACATGTAATATTAACAATACATCATTACAAAGGAATTTTACAGTAAACAATTAAAGCAGTGATATTTATTTCTAGAAAAACACTACTAGAGCTACTAGAAAAAGCGTCTTGCAAAATCTCTGGAATTTCTGGGGGATAGCTTGGCAGAAAATCACTGAACACAGGTCACCAAATTGGCGACTTTCACCGCACTTTTAGGCGCCAACATTTTTTTCTACTCACTGTGGCAAACAAAACAGTCGCAGGTTGGAGCACTGATTAAAAATATTCCCAAAAGCTGCAGCAAAAATGCTGCACTTGCTCACAATGCCAAGTTTTAACTCGTGGGTATGTGCGAGCGTACCACGAGTTATTGCAGGGACAGGGAAATGCAAATGAGTCACTCGCTCACTCGTAGTAGACGCACTTCGTAATAAATCGGGTCCGAACGCGAGAGCGCGAAGATCTATCGTTTCCAAAGAAGCAGGCGCTTGCCGAAGTTTGGTGGCATCAAATTTCTCGCTGAGAGCGTGCATTGTGCGCTACAGCACGGTTACTAGCCTGCGTAGCAAGCGTTTCCTCGCGAGTTTCGTCTAGAAAGCTGGGACAAGAGCAAAAAAAAAATGAATGACGGGGAGGGGGAGGGGAACGAAGGAACTGCTTGCCCGCAAACCCCACGATTTTGAAAAACTGCGTTCGCCCACGAACACAGCTTCTGATTGGCGCGGTGCGTGTAATGATTACTTAGCATTCGAAACATCAATCAAACCAGGTATGCTTTGTTTTCGTGCGTCACAGATCTAGTCTCATCTGATTTGTGGTCGCAGATTACAAATGCTTTGGACTGATATTTATTGGAATCGTGTTTGTGCGAAAGTTTATGAGATCAGAGTCTTCAAAGTATAATTGGAGATCAGGCAGTGGAGACTAGGGAAGGCCAATTTATTGAGAATGACGGCGTGGGGATCTGAGTGGAAAAATGGACTGTTTGTTGGAGATAACATCAACATAAATCAGAACATCGGTACTCGACACTAGCTAAAGGTGCCATGGACAAGTGATTTGTCAGCTTTTTGAAATGAAAAGATTCTTTTCGTTTATTGGAAATTGAGCGGCATCTATTGTAGAGAACGTTTCGACACAGGCTGAAGAGCAGCCACTCTGCAAAACTTATAGCCGGCGGAGTGAATTTTTCCGGACAAATCATCTTTGACGTGTCGACAAGGTTTCAGATGAGATAAAGCCACACAATAAAAAACAAGAAATTCCGCAGCAATCACTCATAGTTATAACTTTTTTTTATTGTAAATCTTTTTTCTTACAGTTCTTGCAATCGCCTGCAACGTGT